GTGTAAGGGATTAATGAGGAGTAGGTTTCATCCCACGTGGCTCAGTTAGCTTCACGTTGAGAAAGGCAGTTCCACTGCAGGTGTTAAGTCTGAAGAGCTAGACGAGGATCATTTAGATCCACCCCAACATAAGCACGTGCAGGAGGACATGGAAGAGCTCATCTGGTGTTCCAACTCCAACTTGACACCAGTGTTAAACAAACGACAGTCAAGACACGTATGACGCTCGGTGCCGGAATGTATGTATTTTTCGGCGGAGTGGAAATTTTCAATGGAAAGGAAAGTTTTATAGAAGAAATGAAATCACCCAGTAAATCACTCAACGTTTTCATGGATTTATTTCCAAGTTTTTCTTGTACATAGTCGAATTGCATACCCAGAGATTTTCCATAGATCTATATACATTTCCCCACACTGGCCATATGTGTTTATAAAATAATTTTCAAGGTCTGTGTAATACTCCACACAGAGGAGTGTGCCCATACGCATTGTGTGGATGTTGGGTGTAGTTCACCTGATATTTTTTGAAGATTTAGTTATTTATTTGAGGGGGGAGTAGGGAGGGGCAGAGGGAGAAGGAGAGAGAAGCCCAGGCTGACTCCGTGCTGCGTGTAGAGCCCCACACAAGGCTCGATCCCAGGACCTTGAGATCCAGACCTGAGTTGAAATCGAGAGTCTGATGCTTATCCAAGTGCGCCACCCAGGTGCGCCTGTAGATCACTCGATTTTAATCTGGAAAAGTATCTTTTTGTTACCAATATGCACATTAGGTAGCAGAAAAGGCAATTTGCTTTCTCTGATTGTTTACAGACAGCCCTGCACACTTCATTAACTGGTGCTGGTGTGTTCAAAGGAACGCGTTATTCAGCATGTCTGTTCTTCAGATACCAAATCAACTTGTTCTTTAACGGAGAGACTAGATAATCCATGCTTGATTAGTGGAAAAATCCATTTCTCCTCTTCTCTTTTCTTTTCAATGAATGAAATTTGGTGATGAGACGAATACTACGGCAGCAGTCCTCCTTCCGACGGCTCTTTCCTCATCATTGCTGCCTGTTATATCCCGAGTTTCCCCATCAAGGACTCCCTCTGCCCTGTACCCATCAGCTGGATACAGGCCTTTCTCATCCCTTGTTTCACTGGGTTAATAATTTCATTCCCTATACCCAGATCTGCCAACAGCAAATTTTCCAATAAATCGCATTTTTCCATTTATTGGCTTCAATTTTATAGTCTGCCTAGAGGAAAATAATATTGGTAGGAAATTCACAAACAAGTGACATTCTCCATGAGGACGGTGTATCTTCTTCTCCCTTCGCTTGTGCCTCTGTGTTACATTTCTCCTGGCCCTGGGTTGTGGCAGAGCTGACGTCCCCTCGGTGGAAATTTAGAGATGGAAAGCAAGAACATGCCAGGCTAGAGAAGGCATAAGGGAACTATTGTTTACGGAATGCTTCTTATGATCACTAAACATTGAATGAAGGGCTTTATGTATTTTATGATATTGAATCCCAAGCGTGGGAGGCAGGAATTGCATTTTTAAAAATAAGGAATCTGAAGGTGGAGGCACGAAGGGTAGGGAAGGGGTTATGGGAGTGATACTTAGTACAAACTGTATGCTAGGTCTGTGCCGAGCGTGGACAGTTTACAGTATTATTGTTAATACTGTTATTTCATAGATTTCACAGATTATTTCAGTTATTTAAGTAATCTGTACACCCCACGAGGGGCTCGATCTCACCACCCTGAGGTCAAGAGCTGCATGCTCTTCTGACTGAGCCAGCAGGCGCCCCCAACCGATACAGATTTTAAGATTTTAAAAAGGAAGAACTAGGTGTATTTCCTGAAGCAACTAAAACGTAAACACCATTGAGTATAAAAGCACTTCTGAGCAACTCAGAAAACACTGTAAACTCTCAGTTTTTTATACCTGTTTTTAATGATTTCTTACCCAGCCCTCAGTCCCTTTAAAACCTATGGCAGGCTTTATGGGGCGCCTGGGTGGCTCAGTGGGTTAAGCTGCTGCCTTCGGCTCAGGTCATGATCTCAGGGTCCTGGGATCAAGTCCCGCATAGGGCTCTCTGCTCAGCAGGGAGCCTGCTTCCCTCTCTCTCTCTCTCTCTCTCTCTGCCTGCCTCTCTGTCTACTTGTGATCTCTCTCTGTCAAATAAATAAATAAAATCTTAAAAAAAAAAAAAAAAACCTATGGCAGGCTTTTGAGAAATGCTTTTACTTTTCCTTTAGTCTCTCCTAGATTTTGGAAACCATGTCAGCACACCGTCCCAGATTCTTCTCTCAATGAGATTCGTGGACCTTCTCTTTTATTATTATTTTGTATTGAGGTGTAATTGATAAAATTTAAAATCCACAATATAATCATTTCATATACATATATATTGTGAAATGATTACCACAATCAAGTTAATTAATACACCCAGCACCCCACCTAGTTACTTTTGGGGCATGTGTGTGTGGGGAGATGCTTAAGATCTACTCTCTTAGCAAATTTCAAGTATATGATACAGTATTATCATTAAGTACAGTCCTCATGCTGTACATTAGATCCTCGGGACTTACTCATCTTATAACTAAAAGTTTGTACCCTTTGACCAACATCTCCCTCATTTCTCCCACCTTCTAGTGGCTGGCAGCCATCATTCTGCTCGATTTCTATGAGCTGGGCCTTTCTCAGATTCCACATTTGAATGGTCACACCCAATATTGTCTTTCTCTGTCTGCCTTATTTTGCTTAGCCATAATGCCCTCCAGGCTCATCCATCCTGTTGCAAATAGCAGGATTTCCTTCCTTTTTAAGGCTGAATACTACATATCGTGTGTGCGTGTGAGCATGCCCCGTTTACCCATTTACCCATCAATGGTCATGTAGGTTGTTTCTGTATCTTTTCTGTATCTTGGATCTTGTGAATAGTACTGCAGAGAACATGGTGTTGTAGATATGTCTTTGAGGTACTGATTTTGCCTCCCTCCTTCAGACGTAGTCCCAGAGGTGGCGTTGGTGGATCTGGTAGTTCTACACTTGATCTTAGCCAAAAGGTCGAGAAGCGATGGATCTGGTAGTTCTAATCCTAATTTTGTTTTTGCAGAACCTCCATACTGTTTTCCAATCTGGTTGCACCAATTTCCGTGCCCACCAGCAGTGTGCAGGGGTTCCCTTTTCTCCCTATTCTTGGCCCACATTCGTTGTCTCTTGGATACTTCTCTATCCTCAATGAATTTTGCAACCAGAAAGCTTTTCAACGAACCTTTTTCTTCAGGTCAGCATTGCCAAACAACCCTCCCACCAATTTGTGGACAAAAGAAAGCTCCTCGGAGTTATACAACAAGCTCGTTGCTAGAAACTCAACAGCATGCGATGTTTTATTTCACCAATATATTTGCTTTACAATATTTAAGTTTACGAGAGAAAATAAGCTTTTGGATTTTCTTTGTGCAGTTCTTAATCTGGAGAGAATAAGCCCTTTGCCTAAGAAAGTACTTCTCCCGTGCACCAAGTGAATAGACACCTGGAATTCCTCTAACAAATCGTCGTGTTTCTTTCTGTATTAAAAGATAAGGCTGGAAATGCAAATATCCTGGGGAGAGGTAACATTTACTAAATTATACTCGTGCTAGCCTGCAAATTATTGATAGCGGCATTTCTCTCCAAAGGAGGTTGAGGTATCAAGGAGCAGGAGAGAGCAAGAGAGACCCAGGGGGTTAAAGGGGACACGTGAGAAGTAGAAGCCAGTGGCTGCTCAGAAGAGGTGGCACTCGGAATCTGAGAGTCCTCTTTTCTTCCGTCTGGCCTCTTGGAAAATATCTACTGCAGGAGTCACATTTTATGCTGGGCGTGGTTTTTTTTTTTTTTTTTTTAAAGATTTTATTTATTTATTGGACAGACAGAGATCACAAGTAGGCAGAGAGGCAGGCAGAGAGAGACGGAGAAGCAGGCTCCCTGCTGAGCAGAGAGCCCGATGCGGGACTCGATCCCAGGACCCTGGGATCATGACCCGAGCCGAAGGCAGGGGCTTTACCCCACTGAGCCACCCAGGCGCCCTGGGCGTGTGTTTTAAAGCCAGCGTGAACATCACGCAGTAAAGATCACCCTCGGAATCCCCTGAAATCTCCCATAAAGTACGTTCTCTTCCTATTCTTTTTTTTTTTTTAAATAAAGATTTATTTATTTATTTATTTATTTATTTGACAGAGATTACAAGTAGGCAGAGAGTCAGGCGGGGAGGAGGGAAGCAGGCTCCCTGCTGAGCAGAGAGCCCGATGCGGGACTTGATCCCAGGACCCTGGGATCATGACCTGAGCCGAAGGCAGAGGCTTTAACCCACTGAGCCACCCAGATGCCCCAGTTCTCTTCCTTTTCTCAGGAAGCCCAGTATCACCAGCTCTTCCTGGGCACAGGATCGCTTAGCACAAGGGCACAGATCGCTGCCTCTTACGCTGAGTCTTCTGTGGTTTGCTTGCACTTGGACACTGTGCGCCCAATGGACACGTCCCCAGAGGGACGTTGGGCGCAGCCAGATCCTGCAAACCACAAGGAACACAGGGGAAGACAATTTGATGCAGGAAACAGTGTCACGCTCGCCCTGGGACATACACATGCCCAGGAATGGAACGGAGAGGAAGGAACTGACACGTTCTTCCAATTGTTCTCTTTTGCACTTTTCTTAATTCTCTTTTTGGCAGAGCAAGCGTAGTTGAATTTGTCTCATTAAAAGCATGTCATTCAACAACTCTGCACGTGTCACCAGACGCAGGCCCCTGGGCACCTTTAAGTCCCACTCTAGCTCTGGGGCAAGCTGGCTCAGCAGAGGCAGAAAAACCACGAGGAACACTAGCACGAGAGCAGACCCTCTGGGTCTAGGGCGGAAAACCGAGAGCAAATCACCAATCTGGGAGCTTTTTACCAGGTGACAAGTCAGGGGAACACAGTGGTTTCCGGTTTGATGATTTTCTCTCTCTCTCTCTCTCTGTTTCTCTCTCAACAGGCTGGTCCATTCAGGTCCGGGCAAAGGCTCGCCCCAGGCTGGTGTGGATCTGTCCTTCGCGACGCGAACGGGCACCAGGCAGGGGATTGAAACGCACCTGTTCAGGGCCGAGACCAGCAGGGACCTCTCCCACTGGACGAGGACCATCGTGCAGGGCTGCCACAACTCGGCAGAACTGGTCACTGAGGTCACCACAGGTGAGCCCCACCGGCTCCCAGGGCACCAGCGCGCCCCGTCCTCCACCCCTCCTCAGTGTAGTTCCAGGCTTGGCCTTCTGGGCTGTTTGGAATTCCAGAAGTGACCTTAAATGCTTCCAGATTAGGGCATTGTGTGCCCTATTCAAATGGCAGTCTTTTCCCATCTCCATTCAAAAAAGAGTTGGTCACCTAGAGAGTCAAAGAGGTCATTTTCCTACCTGTGACCCCCCGGGGGGCTTCCTGCAGGCACAAGCTTTGAGTCACTCAGACCGACTAGCAGGGTTCTTGTTTTTTTTTTTTTTTAAAGATTTTATTTATTTATTTGACAGACAGAGATCACAAGTAGGCAGAGCAGCAGGCAGAGAGAGAGGGGGAAGCAGGCTCCCCGCCGAGCAGAGAGCCCAACGTGGGGCCTGATCCCAGGACCCTGGGATCATGACCCGAGCCGAAGGCAGAGGCTTAACCCACTGAGCCACCCAGGCACCCCAGGGTTCTTCTTTTTAACAGCAGAGACTGACTCTGAGTCATTTATCACAGAGTAAAATTCTTGGAAATAATAATTTTGCTAGCTCACGGAGTTGATGGGGAAACTGGGGCACCAGTTTCTGAAAAAGAGCAGGAAACAGAGGCATGGGTTGGGGGCGGAGGGCGGGTTTCAACAGCAAAGGGCAGAGCCTTGAGAAGAGACACCAGTGCGACGGGTCTGAGTGTTGACACCCAGGCGGGACAGAAGGAGTGCACAGTGAGCGCGGCCCCATTCATACAGAGCTCTGAGAAAGGACTATTTACGTGGATTTTTTACATGGATTACATGTTTATAGAAGGAAGACATATATATATATATGTATACATATATATGTATACACACACACACACACATATATATATTTTTTTAAAGATTTTGGTTGTTTCTTTTTTTATAGATTTTATCTATTTATTTGACAGAGATCGCAAGTAGGCAGAGAGGCAGGCAGAGAGAGAGGAGGAAGCAGGCTCCCTGCTGAGCAGAGAGCCTGATTCGGGGCTCAATCCCAGGACCCTGAGATCATGACCTGAGCCGAAGGCAGAGGCTTTAACCCACTGAGCCACCCAGGTGCCCCAAAAGATTTTGGGTTTTTATTTGACAGAGAGAGACATAGCGAGAAAGGCAACACAAGCAGAGGGAGTGGAAGAGGGAGAAGCAGCTTCCTCGCTGAGCAGGGAACCTGATGTGGGGCTCTATCCCACAACACTGGGATCATGACCCAAGCCAAAGGCAGACTCTTAAGGACCAAGCCACGCAGGCGCCCCAGGAAGACCCCTTCTTTACCATCCTATTTATTGAGTGTACTCAGGACGTGCCAGGCATTTCATATAATGTCTCTTGGTGTTTTCCACACTATGAGAAACAACCCTATTATGGGTCCAGAAGTCAATGAATCGAGGCAAGACCAACATTTAAAAAATTAAATTAAATGGAATGCACTTATCAGTGTAAATACTGCTTAGATTTGTGGAACTTTGGATTCAGGGCTGTGTGTGTCCCGCGTCACAAATCATTGCCTTCTCTCATCGAATCCTCACAATTCCCTTGCCAGTCTGACTTTACCGAATCTGGAAGCAAATCCTTAAGAAAGGATAAGTAACTTGTCCAGGATCTCACAACTAATAAATGTCAGGACCGACTTGAACACTACGCTGTGTCATTCTAAAGCCCATTCTTCATTGACTCCAGGGCCTGCCGAGGCCTGGACGCACTGCTGTAGCGCTAGTCAAAACCCAGCACAGGCTGCTGTGATTAATGATTTTCATGCCACTCTCCAAATCAGATGATTGATAGGTGATTCATAGGTGACAGACAGATAGATAGAAATGCATCTGTATGTAAATATATAGATAATTTAATTTTTTGTTGGCCAAAGATAAAATTAGAGACTACAAACTAATATGAATTTCAGCTAAAGTGAATAAGCTAAGTATATACTGTAAAATCTTGGACATTGGGACACCTGGGTGGCTCAGTCCGTTAAGCATCCAACTCTTGGTTTTGGCTCAGGTCATGATCTTGGGGTCATGAGATTGAGCCCCACATTGAGCTCCACACTCAGCACAGGGTCTGCTTGAGATTCTCTCTCCCTTTCTCTCGGGTCCTCCCCACCTCTCTAAAATAAATAAATAAATCTTTTTTTTTAAAAAATCGTGTATATTTGCTAAGGTGGAGTCCACATGAACCCGGTGATTTTCAGCAGCCCACACCACGTACAGTTAACAGTGTCGTTGATGCTATTGCTCCTGGTTCTGAGATCTAGGATTGTTTCTAGTTCTGAGATTGAAGGCCACCCTCTCTTCCACGTCTCCTGCCGTCACTCATAACGAGGGTGTATGTCACAGAGTAGCTGTTCTCCTCAGCAGCAGTCTTCCAGTAAATCCACCTTTCAGTCTCACCAGCTGCTTCTTAGAATACTGTCCCCTTTCCCTCTTCTGTCATGTTTTCTCCTGTTCTTTCACTTCTCTTTGTCTCTGGGGAACCAGTACAAGGAAACAGCCATGGTGTGGGATGTAAGCCAGAAAGCCCTGGATTCAAATTCCAGTCCTATTTCTTTCTTTCTTTTTTTTTTTTTTTTTTAAGATTTTATTTATTTATTCATGACAAACAGAGAGAGAAAGGCAGAGGGAGAAGTAGGCTCCCCGCTGATCAGGGATCCCGATGTAGGGCTCAATCCCAGGACCCTGGGATCACAACCTGAGCCAAAAGCAGACACGTACAACCTGAGGTGCTCAGGCATGCCTCCTATTTCTTTCTTAATCTCTTACTTACTCTTACTCGAATCTCTTGTTTTCTTCATCTGTACAAAGAAGGAAATAATAGTACCCACCTCACAGAGTTGTTGTCAAGAATGAAGAGAAATAACCCACATGAATCTCCTGGCCCAGTGCTTGACACATAAGCTCTCTCTACGTATTATTATTAACAATTAGTTGTTACCCTGTCATTATGTCCCCAAACCTGTGCTGTCCAGTATGCTAGCTTCTGGTCATGTGTGGCTATTTCAATGTAATTAATTAAAACTAAATGAATTCCTTAATCACATGAGCACCATTTCCAGGGCTCAGTCATCCCCTGTGCCTACCTAACGGCTACCATGAAAGGTGGTGCCGATCTAGAACATTTCCATCATGGCCCAGAGTGCTACTGTACTGCTGTGCTCTAGAGGAACAGATTTCCCCTAAGACATCTTAGGTGCAGCATTTCCAAACAACAGAAGTAAAGTTCTTTTTGGTTTACTCCTCTAAAACCTCAGATTGCTGTGATTCAGCCGTTTGGGGTTGGGGCCTGAGAATTTGTACCTGGTAACATCCCAGGTGGTATGGCTGCTCCTGGGCCGTGGGGCCCTCTGGGAGAAGCACCACACCAGGGAGCAGCCTCCCCCAGGAGCAGCTCCCACTCAGGAGTAGTCGAAAAGATGGGACACACGTCAGTGTGTGGCGGGGTTTCTCCACATTCCCTCTACTCATGCAAACATGAAAAACCAGATGTTTTGTAGACTGTCCGCCGCAGCAACTCCCAACAAAATGGCTGTCTTTTTGTAATTACCCTGAAACTGATTGGTGCCCCCCGCCATTTCCCGTCACTGCTGGAAACCTTTTGAGAGTGTCCCCAAGGCTCTTATTCTTATGCTGCATCTTTACAGCAAGAAAAACTAGAGCTTTGGACCTGAGAGTTGGAAAACCAGAAAACTAGACCTGATGAACTGATATGTGTAAATGCTGGAGAAGTTCACGCCCCTTGCCCCAAATTCAGGAGTGTTCTAGGAAAGAATGGAAAAGGCCAAGGGGATTTGGTTTAGTTTACATTCCACAGATTTTGCAAAATCTTTCTTTCTCAATAAGCTGAACTCTACTTAGACAGGAAAGCCACGGAGCGGTTGGTGGACCAGCCAAAGGAAACAACAAAGCACTGTGTGCACTGAGCTAGCCCGGTGGTGGGAGAGAAGAAATTCTGCCGTGACCGCAGGTGCATCCCGGTTACAGATAGAAAGATGCCTTGTGGGAGTTGGGGAATGGGCCTTGTGTTTTAATCAGAGCTTCAATTAACTTGCTAATGTGTTCGATTTGTCCTGTGTGGATTGAGAACATCTTCAGATAATCAGTTCCATTACAGGAAGGCCGTGAACACCAGCTGAGGTCAACTAGAATTGAAAGTAACCACAATCAGTTGATTCTGAATGTCTGAGGGCATAGCTTTCAAGTTCAAATACAGAGGAAGAAAAAAGGAAAAACCTGTTTAAAGCTCATTCGCGCACTTATTCTACAGTTAATAGAAGTAAAGAGGGTAGGAAATAAGGATTCAAGATGGGAAACCATACCTAGACCCATGCCACTGTCTTTGGCCATCCGGGGACTGCAGGGATGGCAGAGGTTGTGGACCTTCTGAGAAGATGAGATTTATGGAGGGGCTTTGCTCTGAAGGACTCAGAAATCTATTAGAGAATGTAGTGGACCTTTCGGAAATATTAACCCTTAGTTACAAATTGAAAGATGCCTGTGGGAAGTCGGAGGAAGGGGTACACTTTTAACCAGAGCTCCAATTAAAGGCCACCTTATTCTGTGAGCAGATAGAGTCCCCTGTCCCTTTCCCCCAAACCTGGAATGTCCCTCAGCCGTACAGTTAATACTCTGACTCTTTGCCAAGGTCCCTCTCCACCCCGACTGCCAGAGTTTGAGAAAGATACATGGCACAGAGTGGAAAGAACTTGAATTTCGAATTCTAAGCCACCTCAATTGGGCCACATTTCACCTATAATATATTAGCTAAGGTCCTGCTTTAGAAGTTTGTGGTAAGGTGGTAAGGTGAAGTTCGGTTTGGTTTATAAAGCTGAGTTGAGCTAAGGATGGTACAGAGCAGTCTTAATGCTCCCTTACTCCTCCCAACCCCCCCTGCTCCCCCCGACCCTGCCCCGTCCCTGACTCGGTCCCCCTCCCAGAAAAACATCTGGTTTCCCTAAAGAGCTTTCAGATGTATATGAAGGTCTCAGCCAATTTACTTGCCTGCTGGTTAAATGCGATGTTCTGTGAGCCGAAAAATCCAACCTAATACTTAATAACCTTTTCCAGAACTCTTTGATCAAAGTTTAAACCTTTGCAAGTCTTCCTAAATAGGAACTAGGATTCTGGGGCAGTCCCCCGTCCACTCAGATGCTTCGAGCACGGATATCTTTTCCTAAACGCAGTGAGGACCACACATAAAAGCGGACGGCTGTCCTGATCAAGAGGTGTTAGTTTTGTTCCTTCAGATCAGAGGGTCCCCTGTGACCACCCCCTGAGCAGAGACGGAAAGCAGTCTCCTCCGTGGAAGGGGCCCCGTCTGAGAATCGCTCTGCAGTCCAGCTTCCCCAGGACCCACGATCCTCAGATCGCCAGGGGACGTTCTAAAACACTCATTTCTATTTATAAAATGAGATTTGTTGGACTTTTTTATAAAAAATAAAAATGGGATTATTTTTAAGCTGCTCACTCCCGACTTCTTCGGTGGGTTACATTGGTAACAGAATGGAGGAATGCGCACTCCTTTCACCGGGTGGAGGGCGTGGCAATGGGGTGCACGTGCGTGTGTGTGTGTGTGTGATGATGACGACGACTCAGCTGGCTCACCCTCTGTCAGATGTCAGGTCTTTTTTTTCCCCTGACAAGGCCAGCGGAAGGTAAGTACGCTCGTACGGCCAGAGAAAGGCTAGAGCCCAGATAAAATTCAGTAAATCCCAGCCAAAGGAATTCTTTCAGCTTATTTCCCTTGGTTTCATGGGTCAGGTTACATGACAGTATCCAAATCAGTCCAAGGAGAATATTCTCGTGAGCAACGATTAATTTTCAACTTGTGTTGAAATGTGTGGCCGGTCCTGGGACTGAGGAGACAGGCCGGGGTAAGTGCGTAGGCAAATGGACCGACCTGGCTGTGGCTACTGCACTCTCTCCTCTTCCCCTTCAGCTTGCACCTACAAAAACCAGGAGTGCCGCCTGACCGTACATTATGAGAACGGATTTTCCATTACCACTGAACCACAGGAGGGTGCCTTTCCCAAGACAATCATCCAGTCTCCCTATGAAAAGCTGAAGATGTCTTCAGATGATGGAATCAGGATGCTGTATCTAGATTTTGGAGGCAAGGATGGAGAGATTGTAAGTGTGTTTCTGTAGACAGCGCGAGTTCGTATGTTTCTCATTGGGCAACACATCCACGAGGGCTTGTGAATGTAACACGGCCTTTTTATTTATGTGGCCATTGACTGTTTACGAAGTACTTGCAAGTTCATGTCTTCTTTGATCCTTGAAAAACTATGATGAGATCCAATTATTCCAAAGTTCTTTACTTCGGTCTCATTTCCCACTAGCATACCAACTAAATATTTGAACCAAGGAATCCTTTAGAAAGTTAGAATTAAATTCTTATCAGATAGGGTCCCACCGGCTTCAAAATGCACCATTCTTTTTTTTTTTTTTAAGATTGATTTATTTATTTTATTTGAGAGACAGAGCACACAGAGGGCAGAGGGAGAAGCAACTCCCCATCGAGCAGGGACCCCGACGTGGGGCTCGATCCCACGACTCCCGGATCATGACCTGAGCTGAAGCCAGACACTTAACTGACTGAGCCACCCAGGTGCCCCTGCACCATTCATTTTTAAAAAGTATCAAGTCTCTAATCTAGCCGTGGCATTGTGCTCGTGTCAGGGTTGCAAGGATGAAAGTTGAGCAGGGCCAGCCAGGGGGGAGGTCTCCGAGGAGCAGGGCCAGCCAGGGGGGAGGTCTCCGAGGAGCAGGGCCAGCCAGGGGGGAGGTCTCCGAGGAGCACAGCACATGGAGAACAGAGGTGGACGGTTGGGAACAGGGGCGGAGCAGAAGGGGCAGCAGGGAACAAAGAGAAACTTGGTGAGCGATACCTGCGTGGAGAGAAGGCTAGACGAGGGCCCAGAAGTTTCGGGCTAATGGCAAATAATGCCTAACAAAATTAGCAAATTTGTCAGTTAAAGTAGCTTTTAGACTTCTATCAGTAATATGCAAATAGCCAGTGTATTTAAATTCATGATTTCCTGCGATCGTTACTGCCTATTACAATAAAAAAAAAGTGTATTTCTTCAGTTCCATGAAGGGTGAGAATTGCCTGTTCTTTCCAGCCAGCGTAGCTGTTGACATTCTCAGGAGGACCTAGCATCTCACTTAAGCTGTCAAATGCTGAACTTTTAAGAGGACCTTGATTCTGTAATAACTAGGCTCTCTTTAAGTCCTTCCTAAGTCACTAGGTTAGTCAACAAATATTCATTGACTTCTGCTTGATCACAGGGATGGGGAATATATAAAATGCAGAGGTAAACCTCGATTTCAAAGCTCTAGTAATTTCAGTGAAACTTATGGCCTTCTACAATCCCTCCCTCCGCCTCCAGCCCCTTCAGTGGTTTCTCCGGTGGGACTGGACTGGGACTTCTCTGGAAAGAATTCAGGGGCTGATGGAAGCGTAGAACCGAGACCACACTCGAGAGCATGAGGCCTTCATTTCAAAGTCTGAGCCGGGCTGTTGTGGAAGGGGCGCCTCGTAGCACCACCCCCCCATCAGAACTCACTTTCGGAAAACAGTTCCCAGCTCATCATCTTCCCTTTAAAAAGGATCTGTGGGGGATCTGGGTGGCTCAGTGAGTTAAACCTCTGCCTTCGGCTCAGGTCATGATCTCAGTGAGGGTCCTGGGATGGAGCCCCACATCGGGCTCACTGCTCCTCAGGGAGCCAGCTTCCTCTCTCTCTGCCTGCCTCTCTGCCTACTTGTGATCTGTCTCTCTGTCAAATAAATACATAAAAATATTTTAAAAAATGGATCTGCAGGGTTTTACAGGATTTTTGTCTTATTGTTTGTATGTTTCAGTAAGTTCAGCCTGAAGCAGCAGTTTGGAAAGACACGAGTGATCTGAAAGTCCATTTTACTCAAAATACTTGTAGTTCAGTTGCTGTTCTATCCATCGTTCGACCCAGTGCTCTTTCCTGAAGGTGATGGCTCCCTAGCAAAACAAAAATAAGAACAAAACAACCAAAAAACAAAAGGCTCTTGGCCTTAGCCTTGGCTTGAAAAATCAAGGTTCTTTTTGCCAGTGAGGAAAATCACTTATGTTTAAATTTCTGCCTTTCTGAAGCCTGTAATTTCAACCTGTCTTGGAAGATGTAGGCAGAACTGTGCGTTTGCCGCCAGTCCATCCGGCTGAGAAGTGCAAGTTCACGCACAGCTTCCCCAGGCCTGGTTCTCCAGCCCCAGGAGGCAGGCCCCGCCAGGCCTTCCCTCTCCCTTTCTGGGGAAGGGAGTGGACACGGGCTGCAGGAAATGGAATAAATTGTTCTCTTTCTGTCTCTATAACTAACTCACCAAATGTCTTGGGCACGTCCTTTTATGTCTTTGGAGCTGGGTCTCTGTCCATAAAATTAGATTCCTTCCAAAAGTTGCATTCCGTGTTAGTGAAACAGAACACTGTGGTTCTCCCCAACTTTGGCATCACAGAAAGTCTTAGAACTTCTTCAGATCTCAATTTCCCATATAAAACGTGCAGATAATGGCCACAAGCTCATAATGGTTTTTTGAGAATTTAATAAGACGGTGTGGAGGAAATACTCAGCCTGATTCATGATTAATACAACCCTAACTTTGCTAGATGTTCTTACACACTCAGGTGGCTGTTCCCCAACAGTGTCGTCAGCCAAAGAAGACTGGGAACAACTCCTCTCTCTCATTCTCTCTGATCACAGGTTGGGTCACATGTAGGAACTGCTGAGAAGGGAAGGACTTTAGCGGGGCTTTAACGGACAGGCGACACACATGTTACAACAGTCCAAGGGCACAGGACACTGGGGACACAGCCGCTGAGCGGTGTGGCTTCCCCATTCTGAGGGTTCACACGCTATTTCATTGAATACTCTAATTACCCTGTGAATTAGGTAGGACTGGGAAAAATTTTAAATGACTTGTCCAAGATTACATATCTCAAAAGCGTTTCACAGAACCTATTTCAGGAACAAAGATGGATTTAAAAAATAAGTTCACAGAGTTATTTTTTTAAACCTCACTTGGGGAGGGGGGGGGGCAAGGATTTAAAACCATAATTCTGCACCAAGCGTCGATTTAGAATCGCTCACATGCTCTCTTTTTTTGGGATTTCAGCAACTGGACCTTCATTCCTGCCCCAAGCCAATTGTCTTCATCATTCACTCCTTCCTGTCGGCAAAGATCACAAGACTGGGCTTGGTGGCCTGAACCAAGGGGGGATTTGCCTTCGAGAAAGGGAGGGCGGCTGCGCCCCCAGCGGGTGACATCAGACACCATGAACGGCGCACCAGGTGTGGCATACCATGGTCGGCTTTGGATCCCCGAGTCCTCTCCACTGCCCCAGTCTTCTCTGTCAGCTTCGCCAACAACAAGGGTGGGGGAGGGAGGGGAGGGCAAGAAAACACCACGAGGAATATCAGAAGAAAACTGGCTTTCTAGAACAGTAGAAGGGTAACGAGGTGAGGGCGAATGGGAATAAATACACAACCTGGTTTTGAAATAATGACAGTCAAGGATATCATGACCATGAGAACTTGTCTACCAGTCCTAGGCAACTGGTTCACCCAGCTAAGCAAGAACTAAGTAGATGAAGAATGGACATTTTCACCTCTCTGTCCCCAGTGACAGTGATCTTTTGTTTTATTGTGATTTATTGCCTCCTTCCAATTGAGTTGACTTTCGCTTGTAATGAAAGAGCAGTGCTTCAAAGGGAAACCCACCTTTTCAATTTTAAGTATGAAGTGGCTGTAATTCTCTTCCTAATGACTTACCTTTCAGTGACGTGGAATGACCCTGCGGTATTCTCATTAGCATACGCTGAGTGGGAATTAAATAAAGCCTCAGCTACTGATCTGAGCTGGAAGCTGGTGGAATCTGAGCCAAAGTAGACTGTTTATGTCGCAAAGCTGTGCGTTGCAGAAGGGTGGTGTGCCTGAGAAGTGGTTCAGCTGGGGACTGCGCTCCCACCAACGTGTGCTATCTCCGAGCCAAGACTGATAGCTTTACTTAGAGAAAGGAAATTATGGATATTTTTTTAAAAGATTGTCACTTGAGGTATATATGTGGCATATATATCTTATATATATAACATATTATATATATACATATATATAGAAACAGTTCACATGAGGTTAACTAATTATCCCCATTTCGTGGTTTTCAGCAGAAGTACTGAGCAGTTTATTGACCCTTGTTTCTGCCTGTGCTCGCGTGCATGTGTTTTCAGACCAGTCCTAGAGTAGCCTCATAGAATTCTGACAGCTTCCACAGCTCTTAGGAATTGCAGGGAAATAATATAATGACCTGGTATTTTTCTACAAGAATATTTTCAGACAACATAGAGCGTATTGCTGATTTAATGCTTTTATTTTTACCTTTCAATTCAAATTCACTCAAAAGACACCTGTATTATTTGATTTTGGAGTCGCCTTCCTCGAACTTAAAAATTAGCACTGGAGTTTCTGTAAGCATTTGTAACTATCCTTTCCCTTGTACTTTACGTAAACAAATGCTCCGGATTCAATCTGTGTGTTTTTTCAGAATTGTCTTTCAGCAACTACCTATGCAAAGAGCTTTTAAAGTCAAAACTGTTTTAAAGGGATGTAATTTTGCCCACGGAGACACATACGTTTATTGAGTTACAAAGCAGCATCCAAAGTGTGTATCAAGTAACACTAGCTCCAAAGGGCATTGACTGAGTGGTGTTTTGTTGTGTTTTGTTGGGGGAGGGGAGCAGTGAGAATAAGAGGTTTGATGATCAAAAATGTGTTAAATAATAGAGGTAAGAAATGTGAAACAGATGTCATGATTGTGGGCCTCCTCAAAGACTTAAGTATATACATTGTGATTCTTCAAGGGGGTCCCCCTGTACCATTCCTACACTTGAAAGCTTACAGAGCTCCTTTCTGACAGCATTTTGGGAAGCAAGTGTTTTAAAACAAACCAGGGGTGCCTGGCTGGCTCGGTCAGTAGAGCATATGACTCTTGATCTCGGGGTGTTGCATTCAAGCCCCATGTTGGGTGTAGAGATTACTTAAATAAAAAATAAAATAAAATACAAAAAACACTTTGGGAAACACAGCTTTAGGTCACTGATCTTTTTTTTCGGTTTCCCATTTTAAAATGCTCAAGAGTGAAGTCCCACCTGAATATTATGGGAAAGCTTTGATTCGTTTGTGAATTATACTGCACTCTTTCATTACGTATTTTCAAAGTCACTGGAATGTTGTCATACAAGAGAATTATGCATTGTAAATAACATTAAAATACATATATTAATGCCAATAGTTCAGTTCAACAATATGTAATCTAAGGTGCTCAGTACTACAGGAAGTATGAGTTAATTACTCATAATTAAATTGCAAAGATCCTATTCTATATTTATAGATGAATTAAAATGATCATAATTACAAATATTTCTTCATCACTTGAGTTTTAGACTGATTAATATCTGGGTGGGGGGTCAACAAATTACATTCTCTGCATTTATAAAAACTTAATTTAAATATTTATATTTTAGAAAAAATACATTTGAATAAATTAATGCATTTTCTGAATTAAAATGTACTAGCAAGAAGTAGACGATTTTACTAAGAGAATTATGTATATGAATCCTTGTTTTTTCCTTCAAAGTTAAGTGTGTCATATCAGAGTGGCTATGGTGAATCAATTTCAAATACTCATTTTTCCTTGTTTCTGAATTGAAGAAATTACATAATGATTTTACACTGTAGATTTTAATCTTGTCTTGATGTGTGTTTGAATGTTGTGAATGACACACAATCAGATGTCTGGATCATGCCTGGGTAGAGTTGGAGAATTAACTGATTCATTTGGGGGAATTTGTTTTTGTCCAATCTGCTCTGTGTTTAATCCGTTTCTTATTGGAATCAATGAATTATTAAGTTTGCGTTTGTCCCTTTAAGGGCCAATCAATACTAATGACTGATGTTTCAGCTGTACTCGTGGGAAGCCTCCCATTTGCTCTTGGTGAGGTTCAAGGAGCCCTAAGCATCCCAGGGATTTAAAGAAGGCCAATAGAAATATAGTTACCAATCTCCTTCCTGACTTGAACTAAGGAGAAGAAAAAAACCATAAACCTCTTAAAAACACCCAGGTAGGGCGTTTAATTAATTCTTTCAATTGATATAGTTAAAATGCTAAAAAATGCATTCGCCTGAAATTAACGAGAAGCCTTTCTGGCCTTTCTTTTACAAATACGAGGTATTCCATCTTGAGGGGATTGGAGTGGACGGGGGTGAGGGAGTAATTTTTGAATGTACATTGAGTTAAAAAAATGTGCCTATGTTTATAGCACCATGGATGTCTTGTAAAATTTATATATGAATTAAATAAATATTCACCTCTGAATATGGTGGACCGGCTGGCTGGTGGTTTCATCAAAGTCACAGAGGGAGTGTGAAGACACAACCTGCTGTTCTCTTCCTCCAGGACTGGCTCCAGAAGGTGCTAATGGGTAAAGGAGGATGCCGCTGGAAAATTTGCTTTTATTGGGGGGTAGGATTGTGTATAATTTCAGGATGGGTCTGCATCTGGGACTTGGGGATCTTGGCTCTCATTTTAACTAAAGTTTCATGGAATTTAAGCTGTACACCAAGCTCCAAATACTTAAGTTCTCTGTCCTACTATAACTTGGTTTGTGTTTCAATTGCTTATTATTAATCTTAGTCTATGGCTGAGAAGTCTTTCTACTATTTGAAAATTGAGTAGTAGTGAGATTACATTTAGAACTGTAGAATCTCACTTTTGAAGAGACTTCAGAGGTCATCAAGCCCATTAGTGCCCAAAGTTTATTTATAATTTTAGCAATACTACCCTAGGATCTTAGGGTATATCATTTGCTAGTAACAGTGCAACACAATATATACATATAAAAATGAATGTGCACCAATTAAATTTTTTTAAGAAGTCTGTACCACCCAGAGTCATCCCACATACACTCCTGGTCTAAGTAGTGCATTTGGGGGAATGCCGACCTTGTATATGCATCCCTTACGGTTCATTCTGCCTGACATGGAAAGTTTCCAGCTATGGGATGAGAGCTCCTTCTTTCCCAAGGCAGGTCCTTCCACTGCTGGATGGTGAGAGTTGTTGCAAAGTTCTTATTCTTAGAGCCAAAATTTAGGTCTGCCTTTCAGTCCTGACCCGTTCTACCCTAGAAAACACTGGAAGTCTGATCTCTCTACCACATGAATGTCTTATAGGATAAAAAGACATATCAGGGCTGGGAGAAACCAGGGAATAGAAAAATGATCTGAAAATGGCTTTAAGTAGGACACCTCAAATTCCTTCTTTTTATCTTTAAAGAACCGATTGGCCAAGATTAAAACTCTCCGTACTACCTAGTGGTGGAGAGTGATGGGAAAGCAGGCATTTATTTATAAGGCCATTAGTAGGTCTACATTTGGCAACAATCTGCGAGGTTATCTGGCAATATCTAGAAAAATTCTAACACACATGTACCTTTTGACTGTAAGGATTTATTCTAGAGATAAAGTGCACAAAGACTAACATGGAAGAATCATCCTGGTGGCGTTCGTTGTAGAATGAAGCTAAAAAGGTCAGGAAGGTCATTAAAAGCCAAACAAATCCCAGCGTGTAGATGCGCTAGATTCCACAGTGTGACAAGGACCCATCTCTTAAGTGCTACTATGACAAAGTTCCTAAGGGCAACTTCTGCAAAATGCAGATAAAAACACAGACGTATGGATACGGATATGGAGTCCATGTGTTGTTTAAAAGGTGATTCTCCTGAAGAACGGCACCTGCCAGGACGTTTTGGGAATCTGTGCTCGTGCTGTCTTCATGATGATGGAGGGCGGGGGAGACACTTGGCCTTCACTGAACAGGAGCCACTGCCAGTAGATGTCCTGCAACAGGAGGACAGTCCCCGCATCCAGGGGGACCGTTATCCACACAACTGTTTTGTCCTGTGAGTTGCTTGGGTAGGTGAAACCCGTGGTTTATCTGAGCCTAGACCCTGACTATACCTTACAAAGGAAAACATGTTTTGACCGATTCAATACATTCTGAATTTTCTAGGTATGGACCTAGCACGTATATGGAAGGAAGACTGTGGTTTTGGTTCGTTCAGGGCGTTTTATCAAACATTTTATCAGAACGAGTCACCCAGAGCCAGTGTGTACGCGGTGCTCGAGTCATCGACACAGAACACCGGACTCCCGTGTACACGCACCTCAGGGACACGGGGTCTGAGTTATTTTACCTTTCAGTGTGGTTGTGCCCCAGCATCTCCATATTGAAG